CGGAACATTGTACTCACTGATGAAATTGATGAGCAAGTACTTACCTTGCGTATGTGACTTTAATTGTTTGGAGGTTCACATCCTTTGTGGTTTGAAGCGAGTGGTGGTCGTCCCACTTCATAAAGGTAGAAATAAGCCTCGCTATGAACCACTGACCAATCTTCTTGGCTTTTTCAGTCGCAGAGGTTGTGGAAAATGACTCACTTCGCCATTATTTACTTCGAAACTCAATTCTAACCAACTGTGGATAAGCGTCTTTACTCGGAAGGTCATTATATGCCAAATTGTTGGCATACTGGAATAGCCGGAATACTGGCAGAAAAAGTTTATTCGTATTGGGTCGCTTGACTTCCGCAGAGCCTTTAACGGAGTTAATCGTGATATGTCATATCAGATGCTTCAATTTATGGGCGTACGAAAAAGCTTTGATTTCTAACCAGTAACCCTAAGCTCTCATTTTCCGTAATGTGGTGGTAGTCTGGAGGTATGCGGTGCCATGCACATCCTAAACGATACCTTCACCTTCCAGTAGGACCTATCAAGGATTCCCAACCGGACAAGTAAAATCCTGCGATAACGAAAGTAGACAAGCATCGGTGTAGTGCTAGTTTATACTCTTCTTGGGAAAAAGATATTTTTCCATTATCACCCTTGGGTGACCAAGTTCTACAAGGTCCTGCGATTCGCTTCTCGGACTTTCGGGGGGGGGGATTAACTCCAATCCTGTTCACGACATTACGCTGATCATACTTTGGTCTGCGCGTGGAGAACAAATCCCCTGTTATCTTCATGTGCTACTGTGGAACCGGTTCAGGGAGGAAGTATGAGAGTGTAGTTGGGCTGCGGCGCAAATCTTGTCAAGATCACTTAGTTGCTCGTCATCTGTAACCAGTGCAATACAAGTGGATCAAAGGGGGATCACCCGGGTGTATCATACTGCCCAACATCCCCTTTATCTTAACAAATCGCAAGTAAGCCATGGTCGGAAACCTCACCTTAGAGGCCACCCTTAGGACCAAAATATGTGAAGGCACGAACGAGGACTCATGTCAACACACATGGTTAATATATGTAATAAGCAAATTTCCCTCCTGAAGCTCTACAGTCCCTGCTGATTCTTTTAAAAGGCGGCTCACCGGCTGCTTAGAGTCTTGAGATGTAGACGGGGTGTACTCAAGAAGCCTACCATTTCTGTACATTCCTTAGGAAGTAGTAAAATCAGAAGAGGGCTGAGTAATTGGTAATAGATTGACTTTGTCGTTATCCATTTTTCCTATGTCAGGATAACATGTGACTATTTGAAACAAAAGAAACATTCCATCAACATAAACGCAGAATCCGAAAAACCATCATTCACTGTTTTCCCAACACTAAGTTTCAGTTTTGAAGTCTGAACTAATCGTTTTGTAAGCTTGCGTTACAGTAGGTTTTGTTACATGTAACAGATAATTGTAAAACTGCTAGTAAGGAGAATGTGTAATAAAATTTTGCTTTAAAACGTGTCAGTTGCACTTAGGCCTCAGGAATCAGAGATTTCGGTGCCTTTTAGTAACATAAGTGACAAATGATAACTTCAACTCAAGTTTCCGCACCGCACTGAGCTTAGAACGTAGCTTCTTGTCATGTTTCTACAGTAATACAACAGGTCTTAGAAGTAAACTACTCGAGCTCCGAAAAATGTGCTGTCATGTGCATGCAGATACAATTTGATTACGGAGGCAGGGGTGTTCTCAGACATCTTCACAGTCAACATTTTCGCGGGGCAAAACTCGTGGTTATATTTGAGATTGCCATTAAAACATGGGGCAAAACGCGGGATTGTGTAACATTTCCCCGAGTTTTTAACCTCCATGTTTTGCCCCGCCTTTAACCCCGCTTTTCCCCTCGATTTACCTCGCGTTTGTAAAATGGCCCCGAGTTTCCCCGCGAAAATGTTTATTGGGTTGGACCAGGAAGTATCTTAACCTAGCATGACCATGTTCTGAATGGACAGACATTTTAAAGAAGATGGAGGTGGATCAACCGTTTACATAAGCACGCACCTAAAAGTCAAGGAGGCGACTGATAGTATGTTTAACCAATTACCAGACTCCTTAGTAAGTGATATTTCACCACAAACCAAACAAGGTACCCATTAGGAGTGGTATACAGGCCTCTTCTATGCCAAACAGCACAAGGTACAATCTCTCATTACGATTTCGGCACCCACCTCGGCAGTCTATGACTATCTAGTCCTCGCTTCAGACTTCAGCACACCAGCACTTAATCCGGGATGTAAAGCGAGCTGTAGACGTAAATCATTGGAAAATAGACTTCAAAACATGTTTATGGTAGCAGGAATAAGAGACAAAGTTGAGGAAAACACCCGATAGGGACCAGTTGGAAAAGAATCACGACGTGACTACGTTCTAATAGACGATAGTCTTTTGGTGGATGATATGTGTCCAGCGCTATCGAAAGGAGTTTTCTAATAGTAACCAGACGACAAACTTTCAAATGGCCTTAGGTTACTTGCGCAATCCAAAAGCAAGTAAAGAGGAAAGAGAGGCCATGGTATTGGTGGGGCACATCACACAAGGAATCAGACTTTCCTAGCTACAAGAAATCATGCAACTTACGTAAAGTATGTTCGTAACGACAGGTACAAATACTGTAGTAATCTGGCCAAATAGGTAAGCTACGACCCAAAAAGTTTATATTGGTTTATGCCACTACGAAAGCCGATGAATAAAGGTTTAAACCTGATCACAGGACCCAACGGAGAACCCTAGAATAGCATTAACATAGTGGAACTGTTGGGCTGCTGAGCAGCTTTCAACACTCAATAGGGAAATCTCTGAGTTGTGACGACAAACAATTTGTATGTACTGCGAAGTGATATTTTTCTGTTCTTTTTATAATCTGCAGTCACTCTTGCTATCATGATAAATCCTGATGCTATACCTTCTGTACCATTTAGGACAGCTCAACTGCTGGAGATTTCTTTACCATTATCAATTTGATGCCTGTAAACTGGCTTCTCTCATGTTAAACTCTTAGTTTGAGAATAAAATATTTATTTATTTATAAGATCGGTGGTCCTGCGGAATTGTGCCGAAGTGCTAAGCACACTCATTAGCAACTTGTTCACGCACTAGTTGGATGCAAGTCTACTTCCCAAAGAATGGAAGCATGCTATTTTTTCACCAATCTTTAAGTGAGTAGACCTAAAACATCCGTGCAACTACAGACCCTTAGTGTTACTTCTCATACTATTCAAGGTACTGGAAAGCCTAGTTGCAGATGTTGTTTGGGACTATCTCAACGGAAACATCGTTCAGCCCACCCAACATGGCATCAGAACCAGACGGTCATATGCCACAAACTTGGTGACTGCTTGAAATGACTGGACCACTAGATGGGACAACAAGCGACCAGTCTGCGTTATCTTATTGGACGTGGCCAAAGCTTTTGATAGCGTCTCACACTACACTATGCTCGCTAAAGTTTGAAAAGTGGGTATCACTGAACCACTCATAACATGATTTAAAACATATCTAGAGGACGGAGAATTCTGTGCTAAAGTAAACAGAATTCGATCAGTTTGGAAGAGTGCAAGAACAGGAGTTTCTCAGGGAGCCATTTTTGGGTCACCCCTATTTTACTATTCGTCAATGGCCTTCCTGTTAAAATCCCGTCTGTCCTTCTATTTACTGGCGGTATTAAAACATGGAAGACAATAGGAAGGGAAGAGGATCTTAAGATGCTCCAGGACGACCTGCTGCATCTGGAGGCATGAACAGTTGCAGATAGTCTAAGCTATGGTGGGATATTGTTCAAAGCCACAAAGTTTTACTCATTGTTTTCGTGGCTTATTGTGAGTGCAACCAATGTACATCTATACTTTGTGAAGATTTGGCGGCTACCGTTTTAATCTAGCTCGGTTTGATACTAGGTACAACCAGTTCACTTACGTTAACGCATTTCGGACGACGATTTCGATGACCACTTGAACACAAGATAAAATTAGCCCACACTGAGGTATGATCAGAGGTATGACAGCTGCTTTAGAAGGAGTAGCAGTCCTGATACACCCACCATCCGTCGCTGATTGCAATGTGATCTTCTGGAATCCGCGCTTGATTAACAAATAGGGGATGCCACGTAGAATAACAGCAATGACTGTGGTGGAAGTTGGTGGTGGATAGAAGTAGGTTGTAATTTACATAATGCACAAGACGTTCCTCATTAACCCACATGCCGAATAATCCCCATTAGCTACCTAAACGACTCATCTCGGCCTAGATTCTGAGCCTTCACATTCACGTATCCAGACAGCACTACAATATCTATCATGTGCTCCTGGTAGAGAAGGTCACTCAGTCGGTAATAGGACTCATCCTGAATCGCATTCGGGCTGCAGTCAGGTAGAATATGGTTGGGATGAAGTCGTTTCTTCTACCAGTTACTTCTCACTCCAATCTTGTCTTTTAGTCCAGCAGCACAGATGACTGTTGGTGGAGATGCAGTCGACTAGTGTTGCCTCGCCTCTTGCATTTAACAGGATGCCAATGCCAACAAGGTCAGCTGCTGATGCCATATGGTCCTCAGATAGGCGTACTGCGAATGCACTTTCTGAGGTGACAGATAGGGAAGTTGTTTGGTGCATTTACTGTGATCTTTGCGGGTCTCCGAGATGCAGCAAGCATCACTAACGAGACTTTCCAGATGCGTAACCATACCTGTTTGCTGTCCGATCTGCATAAACGTTCAGATGTTGAAAGTAGCTAGCCTAAGCTAAGCAGTGAATGCAGTGTCAATATTTACATCATACGTCAAACTGAAGGACAGCTTTCTGGAAGCAACTCATTGGCTACTCAAAACGATACACACAGGCCAGGATTTCTGTCAGTTCCAGCCAGCTGAGTGAAGCTCAAATATATATAAAGATAAATGTAAAAATGATAGCAACAAGATAGTATAGTTCGTAAATAAGATTAACGCTGATAGTATAAGGATGAATTGAATAATTAAGCAAGAAGTTAATTATACCGTGAATTTGGATTCATAAATTGTATGTGGATTGTGATACTACCCGGATGCCTTGACTAAAGTAGGAGGTTATCTTAGGAGACCACTCACAAACCCTTTGACTTGAAGTCTGAATCATAAAGCAGCGAATAAACATGAAGTACTGCATTTCAGTGGTTGCATTAACTTAATTCTTCTGTTCAAGTATGGAATTAGTCAGTCAGTCAATTAATATCAACATGGTTTCTCATGTTGTAAGACGTAACGACCCAAATTACTTCACCTCATAACAACAGATACAGATAGAAGGTACTAAGGTACTAGAAAGAGAGGAATGAGGAAAAAAGTGACCGAAAGTAGTAGAAAGTCATAAGAAGAGGACAAAACAATGAAGAAATTCAACATTACGATTAGATGGAGATAAGATAATGTGTCATTGAAACCGACTCTGAGTCATACTACACCCCGATTTACAATCACTGATTTCGGTTGTCACGAGGACCCTAATCATTTTGATCCCACTAACAGACGTGTTAATGATGTAGAATGTGCTTTACTTTGAACCAGTTCAAATTACCACAACCTTAGATTGGCATACAGAATTGAATTTCAAGAAGACGAGGAAAGTGAAAAGAAAGTAATAATGATGTTAGTATTTGCACAAAGGAACAAGACAAAAATGACAAAGAGTGAAGGACATAAGTATACACAGAATATTATGATTCAGATGAAAATACAACAAAACTTATCTGCTTCAGGCTTTTTAATCATACACGCAAATATAGTTTTCTTCCATATCATTAGATTCTATTATACTTGCAACAGGCACTTTCCTGAGTAAACAAACTATTAATGTATTCCGTCATTCCAAAACTACTTGAAGATTTTAAAGTACATTTCAGTGGTGTTTATTTTATCTACGCGTAGTAGTAATTGTTTGAACCACATAATTTTCATTCACTGAATAGTAACGTTGACGTTACATCTCGTAGGTAAAATCCACTTACAATAAGTCATGAAATTTGACCCTTCCAACCTCGTACAACAAAACACAAAGTCTAGCGCTTATCATTCATCAGATAAGCAAACAAAATTAACGTAGAACCTCGCACACAAATGCATCAATTCAAGTTCTTAGACAAAGAACAAGTGGATAGAGTAAGACTGATATCAAACTATACAAAGGTGTCTCATCAATTCATTTCATCAAGAGTCCTCAACTGTTGGCCCCCATGGTTTCAGGGACCCGATTCAGATAATCTACACCTACTTACACAGTTGAGATCAACGGTCAGAGACTTCATGGACTGGTTCCACGTCTTCGTCCGGCCACCCTGAGCCTTCGTTCAGTCTAACCTAACTCCGGATAACATTGTACATCCAGGTAGGGGGTGACTCAGCATCCGCAACACATGTCCAAACCTTCTCAGTCGATTAAGGTTTGCAACCTCATTGATTGACTTACCTTTATTTCCTAAAACCTTTCACTTGACCTCAAAATTGCTGATATGGGGATTCCTCGATAAGCGAGCAATGCTACGAAGACACCTGTGATCAAAACTTGCAACCACTTCACATCTACGTTTAGTGGCCATGTCTCACAGCCATATAGCAGGACAGGACGGCAGGCAGCGTAGTATATTGACCTTTAACAGGTAGTTGGATGTCTCACCAGTGGGCACAACAAATGAAGCAAGTTGGCAAATACCAGACTGGATTCCTGTATCCGTTAATAAAATAGTTGTGTTCTCTGTTCATAACACCGAAATATGAAAAATTATCTAGCAAAAGAGTTATGGTATTGCTCTACAATTAAAGTCGTACATTCTTAACAGGTCCCTAGCTAGAATAACACTTTACATATTGTGACCTAGGTACAGTTTTTCGACCATATGTGTCTTCGTAGCATTGCTTACGTGTGGTGGAACCACCGTATGAGGAATTTTGAGGTCAAGCGAAGGGTAGTAGGCAAGACAGGCAATTCGATTGGTAAGGTTGTGAAGGTTATTCGACTGAGATGGGTTGGACACGTAGTGCTCATGCCGAGCCACCGCCTATCTTGATGTGCCCTGTTATGGTGAAGCTGGATTAGGGTTGAAGAGGGTTTGAAGTAGTCAGAACAAAACATAGCAGCAGTCCACGAAGTCCCTGACTGTTGGGTTGAGGCGTGTACGGAGATGTAGACTACCTGATTGGGGTCCCCGATGTATTCACTACTTGACATCTTGAGAAGCTTGAATATTCACACTAACCATTATCTTCAGATTGTTTATTGTCTCAGACAACTTTATCTTCTACCTTGATATCACTCCTTTTCTATCCACCTATTCTTTGTGTCATTTTGTAAAGTATGGCAACTTGAACCGATTTACCTGTGTGTAAGTTTCTACGTTGATTTTGTCAGTCAGTCAGTCACGAAACCGCTGCATAGAATAAAGTGAGCAGTCAAACTTAATTTACTTTCTAATATTTTATTATTTTTTTTAGACAATAACCAACGTGATTTATAACTTACGCCTAAAATAATTAGATAGTTGTGCAAGAAAAACTTCTTTTTCGCTTCGACTATCATCATCATCATCGTCATCATCATATTTTGAATATTGTTACTCATTATTAGAAAGGCATCATAAATATAACCTTATTGATGTATATCAATTTCCTCTTTTAACTTTTACTTATGAATGAATATATGCTACAGTCTGAGAATTAGCTTTCTATATTATTGTAAGAGAGGAATTTTAAATCTTGAAGTAATAATAATATTATACAATGATTTGGTCTTGGGAATATATTACAAAGTTACTTGTTCCATGTGAAATTTTAATTATTACTAAACTATTATTCTGTTTTATTACATTTCCAAATAATCTTTCTTTATATACTATTTTATCTATTATTATTAAGACTATCTTCTCATCACCGATTACAGTGTTTTCACTTTTCTTATTCATCAATTGGTTCACATATTATGCTTATTTAGTATATTTTATTATTATATCTAGTTCTTCTATATACTCAGATGTCTATAAATTAATTCATTTTGGTATAACTTATCAAGTACCATTCACTTTGGATAACATTGAATTATTTATCTATACATATACAAGTACATTATACTTTTTAGAATTATTAAATATAGACGAATGTATTTATGATATTAATTGTTGTTTATTATTGTTTATTTCTTTTCGATTGTATTCTTATTTAAATTGTTGGCAAATTTTACGTCTATCTAATAAATTCTATACAAATTTATTAGATACACATTTATTCTCATTTTTAACATTCTATAGTATATATCTTCTATGGCTTTTCACTGTATCCTTTTATATAGGTTCACAGATTTTTATAAAAATTTCCACCTTCCTCCCTAATACTATTCTATGTACTAGTATATTTCTCTTAATAATTCATATTAATTTAATACTAACAAGTATAAAATTTCTTATTTTACCTATTAAAAATTATTATTTATACAAAAAAATTTCAACTTTATCTTTATTAATGAAGATTATTAGTTTCATTACTATTCTTTTATATTCTTCATGGAAATTTTATCTAAGTGAAACATCACTTACATTTTTAGGATATGCTGAAATCCCTAGTCATGTTATCTTTTTAACTGTTATCTTCTGTTTATTGTATACACATGAAAAATTACTACCATTATTAAACATAGAATTATTTCCTATACATACAACTACTTTCTTATCATCAGAATATTGTAGTTTATGTATTCTACCATTGTATAGACCAATTATTTTATCATCAAGTCTCACTTATAATTCTACAAGTGAATGTCAACATTTATTACATGTTTCATGTGCAACAATTGCTAAATTGATTTCTTTCCCGTGTTTACGGTGTTCTGAAGAATCTTTTATATTTATACAAGGTAAGTTATATATTGTTTTACACTGGTCTTGTGTATTGTTTCATATCAGGTTGATATTCATCATGAACTAATATCACTTAGAAGAACATTGCAAACATGAGAGCACTGTACAGATGTTTCGTCTTAGTACCGGATTCCTTAGGATCTTCAGGTTCGACGGCCAGCATGTTACCATTGAGCCACTGGGTTAGAATTCAAACGTCGCAAGAGATGAGTCTCGTGGCCTACTGGATAACGATTTTTCGTTTTCAGCGATGGGCACTGATTTCGAGTCTCGGTGGGAATAATATCAGTCAATAGAGTGAAGGTACATCTAGCTAACAAGTCGCGGACGGACGAAGCTTCCTTTCTGCTACCCACCAACCAGACTACATGATTAAATATGGCCTATTTCAATGTGAAGTACTCTTTAGTGTATGTTAAGACAACGTAGTACCAGATTCCTCTTGGTTTTATTATTATTATTTGTCCTTTGGGTTCCTAGTGGAGCATAGGGCTTCAGTTGCACGTCGCCATTTCATTCTGTTCCCTGCAGTCTCCACGACTGTCCAGAAGCTTTCATTTCTTTATCACACCATCTCCTTCATGTCACCCTCACATGCTCAACTCTTTGTTTCCCCTTTGGGTCCCACTGTAGGACCTGGCCTGCACTGGCACGTGATGTCCGTGAATGGTCTCCTCAGTGTATGCCCAATCCATCTGCACTCTCTTCTGTATATTTGTTGGTCGATGGGTTCTTAGTTGGTTCGTTGCCATGCGAGAGTCGATTGTTGCTTATTCTTTCTTGCCTTGTGATCCATCTTGAGTATGGAGCCGGTGTAGGCAGCTGTTGATGTCTGTGTGTGGTTTGTTGGAAATGGTTTTGGTGACGCGCCGCCAAGTCTCTGAAGCATGACATGGAATCACTGATTCAGTTGACTGAGAGAATTAGTGTTGAAAATCCGGATGTTGTTCAGGCTTTATGCTGAGTGGAGTGGAGTAGAGTGAAGTGTAGTTGAGTGTAGTAGATCTGCACACTGGTTTCAGGTTAATGAAGGAAGGTCTGTGTTGCTGTCTTCCGGATTGTGGCTTTGACGTTTTCATGTGTGCCGCCACGGCTGCTGCCGCCTGTAGTTGGAACGATGCTGCCTAGGTAGTTAGGTAGGTAGGTAGGTAGGTGCGTGTGTGGGTGGGTGAGAGGGACACCTTTCTTTAAATTTCTGTGGTTGATGGTGATTTGGCTTATTGCTGTTGTTGTTGTTGTTGTTGATTGGGTATTTTCGCCACTTATGTCTTCTGTTCGTTCACGTGAAGGAAGTGCCGTCTTCACTGCCTCACCTCTCCTTTTTTGTCAACTTGTTGGTTTTCTCCTGTAGATCTCTGAGCTTGTACGACATTAGACATAAACCGTCACTGGCGAAACCCAAATCTTCTAGGCTCTTTTCATCGGTACAGCGTATGCTCATCTTCTCACAGCTCCTCACGGTTTGCAGCATGATCTAGTCCTGTCCACCACAACGAGGAAGATCATCGGTGATAGCTGGCGGCAGCCTTGTCTTATTCCTGTCTTGACTTCTAAGGCGTCACTTCGCTTTCCATTGTGAATCTCTTGGCATGTGGCATCTTCATATAGCTGTTGAATCAGATTCGTGAAGGTTTGTGCTATTCTATAGTGTTGAAACAGTTTCCAAACTACTTCTCAGTCGACTCTGTCGAAGGCCTTTTCAAACTCGATGAAGTTGAGGTAGAGAGTTGACTGCCATTCTACGCTCTGTTCTATGATGATGCGTAGCGTTGCAATTTGGTCCACATGTGATTTGTACTTCCTGAATCCAGCCTGTTCCGGTCGTAATCGTGAATCCAGCGCACCCTTTAGTCTCTCCAGGATGATGCTGCTTAATATTTTGCTTGCTCTGGGTGGACAGGAGCATGATTCCTCGGCAGTCCTTGCAAAGACTTAGGTCTCGCTTGTTTCGGAGTTTGACAAGGTAGCCTTTCTTCCAATCGACAGGCAGGTACCTTTCCTTCCTTCCTTCCTTCCAAACTTTCTGCAGTAGTGGTGTGAGCATATCCGCTGTTGTCTCTGCGTGTTTTCAGTGCTTCCAGAGGAATTCCACTTGGTTCTGCTACTTTCCCTGATTTCAGCAGCTTTTTGGCGTTCAGCACTTCTGGTATGTTGAAGGGCTTGTGTTCATTGAGAGTTCTGTGGCTGGGTTGCCGGTGTTATTTCTGGACGAGTTGCAGGTGGTGGTGCTGGTGGTCGATTCAAGAGTTTATGGAAGTAATCGGCCCATGGTTTCCTTTTTTTCTCCTCTTTGGTAACTAGGTTTCCTCCACTATCCTTCATTGGTTTCATCTGCGTAGACCTCTTCCCAGGTAGTATTTTGATTATTTGATATAGTGTTGTCAGGTCTCCTACCAGCAGCCTGTTCTGCTTCACTTGCCAGTGTATCATAGAAGTGTCTGTTGTCTTTCAGCGCACACTCTTCTTCACTTCCAGTGTGGTGTTTTACAGGTTTTTCTCAGTTCCTCTTTTCGTTGTGCATCTTGCACTGCTTTATCTTCTGCTTCACCATCCTCCTCTCCTTTATCAGCTTCCATGTGTCCATAGAGATCCATTCCTTATCTTCTTTCTTCTTCCTTCCTAATACAGTTATGCAGGTTTCTTTCCACATATCTTTCAAAGAGTCCCAACGTTCTTTCGCGCAGGTTTCTTCAGAAATGTTGCTCAATATCTCCCATTTTGTCTTGATGGCTAACGTGAAGATGTCCTTTGTAGTTTCGTCCTTCAGTTTCTGTTCTTGATGTTGAACTGTGGTCTATCACCAACTTCTTTGAAGGCTTTCAACTTGATTTTGAAGGTAGGTTTCTTGCATTACATAGTGGTCTGAACCTACATCTGCTCCTCTTGATCTGATCTTGTATCCAGTAGGCTTCTTCCCCACTTTCTTGAGATTGAGATGAAGTCGATCTGATTTTTAGTGTATTCATGTGGTGAAATCAAATCCGTGTTGCTGCCTTGTGAATATCCTTGTGTTTGTACATACTGCCTTCAATCACCAAGTCGTTGAATGCGTAGAAGTCTGCAAACACCTCTCCATTCTCATTCATCATTTCACCGAGTGCTTCTCGACCCATGATTGGTTCTCTCCTTGTGTTGTCCGCCTCCAATTTGGCATTCATGTCACCCCACCCATTGGAATTTTGATGTCGCCATCTGGGGTGGCGTCTTGTCCAGTACTGATTGCAGTTGTCTATAGAATTCCTCCTTCTTCTGTTGATCTGCATTGGTTGTGGGTGCATAGCGTGACATTGTGACTTTCCTTCCTTTTGAATTGAATATGGCTGTCATGATCCTGGAGGAGGAGATTGGTTCTCACTGCATGAGAGAGAGCCTTCGATGCTCTTGAGGACATCATGATAGCCACTCCAAAAATCAGTGTGCTCGTCGTTTTGGTCCGGGTGACGATATCGGAGTAGATTATTGACTCTGCAGTTGACAGTTTGGAGAGTCTACTTCCATTTCATTTGTAGATTCTTCGCAGATTCCTAGCACTTCTATGCGATACCTTCTAATCTGTTTGTAATCTGGGCAGCCTTGGTAGGTTCATACATGATGCGGACATTCCATGTCCCCATCTTTACTTCTGCTTTCGTCGAGGGAGAGAAGACATCAGCCGACTGGCCTGCCGAAGGCTTTCACCAACCAGCATTGTTTCGTCTCTCCGATTTCAGCAAGGAATAAGTTTGTTTTTATCTTTTATATTTTCTTTGTTCTTTGAAGTTTCCTTAAGGGTTAGATTGGCTTTACGGGGTAGGGTTGCTAGCGCTGTGCCCAACGTTCCGTCTTTATCCTGGTTTAGGACCGGCTAGTAACTAGTGAACTAGTTACGTAGGCGAGGTTAGGAAGCTGAGAGGCTGAGTATAACCCAGCCTCTCATCTTGTATCTTATAAACTCATGTATCCTACTTGTTCTCTATTTTTTCCTTTATTGTTTCCCGGGTTGCTGGAAAAGACTATGCTATAATAGGTAGAATTTTGAAGATTGTCGGTAGAAGTAGTGGTGTACCTATGAACCTCGTAACTGAAACTGTTGTGCACAAGCATCTTAACTCATAGATACTCATATCAGATGACCAGCATCTTCTTCACTCGAAGTTCTTTGCGTGTCGGTCATCAGGAAAGACCAGCAGCAAGTATATAAGACTTTATGCACATACTACGAGGTATGAAAACCTAACAATGCTACTGTATTTAACCCGTATCCTGTGTTAGAAATGAGCTAACTAACTAATTAACTTTATACTGGGTGATAATTGAAAGTGAAGTAAGAATTTCGACCGCGGACACATTCGAACCAGCGACCACTATGTCTCCGGCCTGGATGGTTTACCAACTGAGCTACGAGGTCCGACTGATAGAGCATTGGGCCAGGAAGCCTGTGGTCGCTGGTTCGAATCCGACTATGGTCCAAATTTTCATTTCACCTTCAATCATCACCCAGTATAAATACCAGTCTGCCAAACTACGGCTATCTCAGTCAAATGAACTAATTAATCAACTTTTGAAAGTAAACTAAATAATAGGTATACAGCTTGCTAATATAACTGTTTACTCATGTTGTAGATGGAGTAAATATTCTTATCTTTTATATGTAATTTTTGACATGCTGAAAATTCTGTACAGTATTTGCTAAACATGTTTCAGAATAAAGCCATTAATATTATTTGTCCCTTGGGTTCCTAGTGGGAACATATAGCCTCAGTAGCACGTAGCCATTTCACTCTCTTCTTCGCAGTCTTTTGAATCTGGCTCCACTACTGCCCAGAAACTTTCATTTCTTCTTCACACGATCTCCTTCATGTCACCCTCCCGTGCACCAACTCGTCGTTTCTCATGCGGGTTCCATTCTAGGACTTGGCCTGCTCTAGCGCATGGTGTACCTAAACAGTATTCTCAGTATGTGTCCAATCTAATCCATCTCCACTTTCTTCTGCATATTTGTTAGGTGATAGGTTCTTAGTTGGTACGTTGCCAGACAGAATTCCTTGTTGCTTATTCTTTCTGGCCATCTGATCGATGTTTAGTATCGAGTAAACGTAGGCGCAACTATTGATGGTGTATGTCTGTAGTTTGTTAGAAAGGCTTTTCATAACGTGCCAATTTTCTCAACTATCACATAGAAGCACTGACTCAGTTGACTAACATTAGTGTTGAATATCCCACTTTGGTTCAGCAAATGACAACTGATGATTATGTTCCACTGAACTATTCATCTTTAATACAGATAGTGTTGTTTGTAAATGATACTGAAGCATATGTTTATTATTATTATTATTATTTCAAAAAATCCTTTTATCTCAATTTTTAGAAACGAATAATATTTCAGTGGATTTTGATGAATCACAATATAATTGTGTAGATACTAGTGAATATGAGTCTTCAAGTTTACTTGAAGACTCATCATCTAACTCTTCTGTCTATGATGATAAAGATATTGATCTTAATGTTTATCTAAATTTGGATCATTTTAAAAATGGTAAAATTGGTCGAACAATACGGCGATTAGATGGATCAGATACATCTTCATCTTCTATTTATGATCAATCATCAATTGACAGTAAACATTATGATTATGATTATTTCAATTATGAATCAGAAATAAGTAATCTTTGATAAGTATAGTCAAGTGATCTGTTTTTATTGGCTTTCAACATTGATATTATAGTCTTATGCTTTAATGAAATAATACTACCATTATTATGATTATTAATTGCATTTATGAACTTTGAGTTGTTTATATCATTACTATTTCGCAGCCAACTCCTGTTATACGCATCAACTTGATTATATATATATATATATATATATATATATATATATATATATATATATATATATATATATATATATTGCTTTTTTCTCTATGCATAAAATAGTTTTTTCTTCCGATTTGTTTATTTTATAGCAAAGTATGATTGTTTCTAATGTGATATAGAATATATATATATAATGATGTGATAGCCCATAGCGTGTTAGCTTAACGCTACAGCCTAGATTCATCATCTCAAGGTGACTATCTGAGATAGCCCATAGTTTGATAGACTAGTATGTATACTGGGTGATGTTTGAAGATGAAATGAAAATTTGAACCCTAGTGGGCCTCATTCGAATCACTGGATTTTCGACTAAATGCTCTACTAATTGAGCTATGAGGTCTGACTGTTGACTAGAATTTTATTTCATTTTCAATCACAAGTGAAGTTTTACCCGATTACCATATAAATTCATGATGGATTACTAGCTACTTGGTTGTATTCAAACTGACTGCCCATCAATCAGGACTTCTCATTTCAATCTAATTGAATCAACAATATTTATGACTACTACTGATAAAAATATACAGTTTGAAAATTGGTTCATACTCATCAACAATACTATGAGTTGTAATTGTCGTAACATAAATATCTAAAGAGTACTTTGTTCATTTAAAGTGTATCTGTATTGATTCGAGTTGTTTAAGTGACTTAATTTTTTGTGATAGTTGAATTAATGAAATAATATAACTGGAAGAACTATATACAACTTCATTTACTATGTTATAAACACAATATCTATGATATCAAGACTGAAGTTACTACCTTATTTACCTAAATCTGATAGAAGTAATGATGTTTGAACTTTTGTTAACCGATTAGCTTAGTAAGCTGATTCTTTCAATTTACCTGAATTGTAATACAAAGCAGGTACACAAATCTGTCCTATCCAAGACAACTATGTTATAAGTTTACTATTATGCATTTCTCAGTCTGAACTATATATCATGGTATTCATAAACAATTTGTACAATGTTCACTTCCTCGTGAAGAGCTTGGTGAACAAGAAAATTTATTCGAACACAATGTTCACTATTATCATAACTCAGTAAATTATCATTTTCAACATTTAGTGCTAGTAACTACAAATAAACTTTGGGAAGTTGAGTGAGTATTATTATTTTTATTTGTCCTTTGGGTTCCTAGTGGAACATAGGGCATCAGTTGCACGTCGCCATTTCATTCTGTTCCCTGCAGTCTCCACTACTGTCCAGAGGCTTTCATTTCTTTATCATACCATCTCCTTCATGTCATCCTCACACGCTCAACTCTTCGTTTCCCCTTTGGGTCCCACTGTAGGACCTGGCCTGCACTGGCACGTGATGTCCGTGAATGGTCTCCTCAGTGTATGCCCAATCCATCTGCACTCTCTTCTGTATATTTGTTGGTCGATGGGTTCTTAGTTGGTTCGTTGCCATGCGAGAGTCGATTGTTGCTTATTCTTTCTTGCCTTGTGATCCATCTTGAGTATGGAGCCGGTGTAGGCAGCTGTTGATGTCTGTGTGTGGTTTGTTGGAAATGGTTTTGGTGACGCGCCGCCAAGTCTCTGAAGCATGACATGGAATCACTGATTCAGTTGACTGAGAGAATTAGTGTTGAAAATCCGGATGTTGTTCAGGCTTTATGCTGAGTGGAGTGGAGTAGAGTGAAGTGTAGTTGAGTGTAGTAGATCTGCACACTGGTTTCAGGTTAATGAAGGAAGGTCTGTGTTGCTGTCTTCCGGATTGTGGCTTTGACGTTTTCATGTGTGCCGCCACGGCTGCTGCCGCCTGTAGTTGGAACGATGCTGCCTAGGTAGTTAGGTAGGTAGGTAGGTAGGTGCGTGTGTGGGTGGGTGAGAGGGACACCTTTCTTTAAATTTCTGTGGTTGATGGTGATTTGGCTTATTGCTGTTGTTGTTGATTGGGTATTTTCGCCACTTGTGTCTTCTGTTCGTTCACGTGAAGGAAGTGCCGTCTTCACTGCCTCACCTCTCCTTTTTTGTCAACTTGTTGGTTTTCTCCTGTAGATCTTCGAGTTTGTGCGACATGAGCAGTTGAGTTCAATGTAAGAAATTCCGATGTGTATTGATTAGTCACTGAAGAGCCATTTAATTGCATATTGTGCTGACCTAATCTTATCTATGATTTTACAATGACCTATCAAGCTAGAAGGTTAACATCACAATGATTCAAAATAATCGATAGAATTTGTTCATCATTCAGGATTAGACAACATGAAATTGGTTGCTCTTCAGTGTCTAATCGTTATGCCTTATTTACTCCTACGCGAGGTCAGTTTCACCTCAAATATCTCAATGATAATGTCGTTGACTTCATGACTCGGTGATATGAGTTCAAATCTCATAAGGGACATCATTTCCTGCGACTAATAAACAGCTGTTTCGTCCTAGTATGAAAGTCTTTAACATTGCAGACTCATGACCCCACCAAGGATCGAACTCAGAACCTTCTCCAAGTTGGTGAAAGAAATAGTCTAGAGAAATACGTTTTCCAAAATATAGATTGAAATTGAAAGTGGTTATATATTTCCATCGCTTTGTTGCATTTTATAACCATAAACATATCAAAATATTGAGTGATTAGAACAGCATGTGCAATCCAGTACTACAATAACTCAAATTATCCTTTGACTTGTTTTAGAAGTAGAAATTCATCTTGATGATGATTAGAAAGTGTATTTGTAGCACTGGGTGCGCTGAGTGGAATCACTGTATGTAGCTAATTTTGTGGACAGGCGAAAGGTGGTAGATAAGATAAGCAAGTTGATTGGTGAGGTTGTGAACCTTTGTCAACTAGGATGGCTTAAACATGTGTTGCTTTCGCCGAGTTTCTGCCTATCTCGAAATATCATGATAGGCGAAGCTGGATTAGGTCGAAAGAAGATGCACGGTGCTTAGACCAAACCGTATTAGGAGATGTAAACTACTTGGCTTGAATTGCCGAGATAACAGGAATCACTTGAACTCTTGATGACATAAATGAAAATAGGTCGCAGTGTCACGGATGTATTCACTCCTTGACGTCTTCTAAAGCTTTGTATGCTACTTTAAATTGTGGTAACTTATGTACAAAGTTCTACGTTGATTTTGTCTGTCTGACAGTGGACCGAGTTAACATACTCGTAGTCGGGAACATTCAATTCACATCGCATCGGTTTCACATTATAAATACGGTAGTCTAACTGTTTTTCTGGTTACCTGGTGACATCAATACTACCTCTGGCTAAGAACTGTAGGCCAGATAGCTACTGAATATTTTACTAACCTCAGTTTTTGCATACAATTGGACTGTCTTATCTCACTGATGTTCTAGCTTTTTAGGGTGGATGCTGTTGTTAGTAGTATGTACGTGTTCATGTTATCAGATACTGAATTATCGAAGTACTAAATATAGAGAGTCACTGTATCTAGGCTAGAAATTCTGTGCCAAATCTTAAAAATTTTAATACAATTTGAGAACTGTGATCATCAAAATTAAAGCTGTTTGCTTGCATCCGAAGAGAAACTCTAACACTTTAAGTAGAAAGTTCTCATCAGTCATCTCATAGGTACATGACCACACGAAATCAAACTGCCAAAGTTTATTAAACAAGGAAAAACTGTAAAAAGCTCAGAATTGTTAAGTAATAAAGGTGTATTCAGGTTTCTTTATAAACGAACAGGTTTTGTATGGATGAATTGTCATGAAAATATGAGACGGATCAACGACAAGAAATACACATAGTAGCTATTCCTCGAAAATGATCTTTTATTTCATAAACTCCGCATCGTTTGTATCCATATGAGCATTTAAATCAAATAACATTACCCAACTGTATGAACCACCAGTGAAGGTGCACCAAAAGTAGTGTGTATTTCTACAGTCTATTTTCCATGTAATAGGTTTATCCTATCATCGTATCACCCCATGTTTAATTAGAAGATGAGTCTTATTTGTTGGGAGAAGTTTTTTTTATAAACGATATTTGATTATTCTAAGATAGTTTTCTCTTCAGCAAGGGTCTCATTCTTTACAAGCATCCCATTGACTGGAATAGTTTGTCGCCGATGCGACTATATTGATTCTATGCATTAGATCTTGGGACACCTGCGCACTATTTAAAGGAGATGTTATTGAGATTACCCTTTATGATATCAAAAACAAGATACTCAGCTAAGAGGACTGTTTTCAAACAATTCATTCTCAAGCTGCATTTTCGTATATGAGAGACATTGAATTTTATATAGTGTGAGATTGAAATAACAATAATGGTGGTTATAATCATAATAATATTGATAGTTGATGTCGTAAACATTGAATGATCACAAAAAGAGATTACGTAACGATTTTTCAATCGTTTATCAGGTGCATATAGATTGTATAAGGATGAAAATGTGGTGTGCAATCAATTGAAAATGTTGTTATTCATCGTAGACTGACATCAGTTGGAGGAACAAAGGAAACCTGGGAGCACTGGACAGCTGTTTCGTCCTAGTATGGGACTCCTCAGCAGTGTGCACCCACGACCCCACCAGCAGGGATCGAACCCGCGACCTTCAGGTTCCGCGGCCAGCGCGTTACCATTGAGCCGCTGGGTCAGAATCCAATGCTCCATATTTCCAACATCCAACTGATGTCAGTCTACGATGAATAACAACTTGAAATAATTCCAAATCTCCACAACTCCCTCAAAATTTAATTGAACTGGTGCTCATTGGTGACTAGTTTCGAGAAGTATTCCCGAAGTTCCAGTGACAAGTCGTGACCGGTGGAGTCAAAGCCTGATGGCCATGAGGACAAATACTCAGCGATGACATTGGGTGGCGGTTGCGCTATATATCGTGAGGTAACAGAAGTTGGAAATATGGAGCATTGGATTCTGACCCAGCGGCTCAATGGTAACGCGCTGGCCGCGGAACCTGAAGGTCGCGGGTTCGATCCCTGCTGGTGGGGTCGTGGGTGCACACTGCTGAGGAGTCCCATACTAGG